TGGTCAGGTTGGGTCCAATCATAGTAACAGAATTGAGACGAGTTCAGTAGTTATGGACGTTTACCACTCTATCAGGGCTTTTAGGTGATGCCCATTGGTCGTGATCAGGTTGTATGTTAAATGGAAATATCCCACACTTTAGCGAGTTAAAGTACGGACCTAGTTGACCGAGTCAACTTGTTGTCCTCATGTGGTATGGTTAGCTTAAATGTAAAGTCTTGGTTATATATGCATAGCATTTAACCAAGTATATTCATTTGCATCCTCATCTTTGTTGGCTATTTAGTGCTAATGTACCCTCATATTCTTTGGTTTATTCTTCCGAAACCCAACAAAAAAAAAGTGTGAAGTATGGAAAACTAGGGAGGGCCCGGGTGAGAGAGTGTGAGAGAAATGATCGATCTTGGTGGGGTTTGTCTACAATAGTAGTTGTTCAAGCAAGATAAAGTACCCTCCTAGCAAGTGGCCTAGCGGTGCTTAAAGGGCCTGTGGATTGATCTTAGTCTATGACATGCATATCTCTAATTTTTTTAATTATTGGGCATTAAAATATTTGTGTTATTTATCTAGGTCTAGACTGTAAAAAAGGGACCAACTCCTAGGGTTTACTTAGCTTAGCTCGTATGAAGTGGTTACTCGCACAAAAATAAAGGAAGACGAGGTTATTAGCAACGAATAGTTAATATATAGAGATGAGGGCTCAACCAATATGTTTAGTTAAGCTAGAGGCTCAGTTAAAAAAATATAATCTTTTCAATATAACTTCGCTTACGGGGTTTTCAGACTTGAAGTTGAAGATAGTCTCATTATTTAAAATAAAAATGCAGGGTTCTCCACACACGGAGGGGCAGGGTCGTGGTTTAAGCGGCCATGCAGGGGTATTTCCGGAAAGCGCCAGGGGGGTGACTGGGTGAGTGCACTGAAACTGGCGAGAGCACGGAGTCGAACACTGACAAACTCAGGTCCCGAGCGCGCTCGAGCGATGTTCTCGTGTCCTCGGCATTGGCGTTATGCTCGTCAGACGACGGGAGCATCGAGGCTACCTGCTGCGGACAAACCTCAACCGAAACGCCACTCTGACACCTGGGCCCCACTCTTCCGAGGGAGCTTTGGTAACGCTGCGGGGCTAAACCAAAGTCCATTATAATTCATCGTGAGGGTTACTCACCTAGAACTTAAGATTGGAACTTAGGATAATTTGTGGGATAAATTTTTAAGGTGTTAGTCACATAGAACTAAAATCAGAATAAAATTTTACAGTGTTAGTCAAGTAGAACTCTAACAAAACTAGAATTAGGATAATGGCACAAATTTATCCCATCTTTTTTTATTTTTCTATACAAAAATAAGAGTTCTAGTCTCTTAAATTATTCCAAGTTTTAGCTTGGAACTAGGTGGTAAAAAACTAGAACTCATATTTATTTTAGTCTCTTAAATTATTCCAAGTTTTAGCTTGGAACTAGGTGGTAAAAAACTAGAACTCATATTTATTTTTTTATTTTTTTATTTTTTCTTTACTTCTTTCCTATTATGGTTATCACCATCATTATAATAATAATTGTCAATATCTTATAGTCTAACCAAAAGTTATTTAATAGTAAAGAACATTCTTGTAAGCAATTATCAATCAATAATAGTAAGTTTAAAATATATAAATAGTATTTATATCTTCAAAATGTATAAATATATATTTCATGATTATAAAAATTTATCTCCTGTTATTTTATCAAAATATCTCGCTTTTCACAAAATTGTTCTTATTTATCCCACTAAAATATCACATTAACGAAAGATTATTCTAATTTAACAATTATCCAATTTTGCATGAAAATGTCCCAATTGACTAACACGATTTTATAGAAGTGTCGGGACGATGATCTACGGTAGTAAAAGGTACATTGAAGATAATCTTCAATAATCTTTAAATCTGTATATGAATCTTAAAATCTAATAATAAAGATTCATATTTATTAACACATATTTAATATTATGAATCTAAATTCACTCGATATTTTTCCATGTGCTGGTACTAAAATTAATGACCCACTAAGAAGGTTAAACCTCTACGGAAAAGCCAATATGATATAGTGGATTGCTCAGGGACTGATTGCACTTAAACACCGTATAGTTTCGCCTACTTTGCACATATGCACCTCTAATTGTATTTTGCTTCAGTAGTTAAATAGCCTAGAGTATTCAAAAGTTGCACTTTAGTAGTTTTTGTTATATAAATGTGAGAATTTTCCTTCGAAATTCTCTTGAGACACTCACATTGCTATGTTAGAATATAGTTTGAACCTTGTTTTGTTGTCGTTGTTTTTATTAAAGTTATCGTTAAACCTATTAAAATCCTATTTTAAAATAGAGTTAGGACTGTATTGTGTGGTTACCGAAAACTGAGAGATTGCAAGCTTGGTGATTCATCAATTTCTTACTCATTCCACAAACGAAGTAGGTTTCACATCAATAACTCTTTCATAATTAAACTCCTTATCAATATTTTTATTGGGCTAGTTGCGGTGTTGATAGACTCATTATAGTTCTATTGTTGTGGGTAGACCTTACGTATTATCGCTCAATTGCGAACAGGTTTATTGTCATAAAAAACAAGTTTATTTTTCTTTGATGATAAAAGAGCTCAAAAAAATTATTTAAGAGGAACTAAAAGGGGTATATTAGCAACTTGGTGATAGTAAAAGGGTCTAGCCACAGTTAATTCTTTTTTAATTTGAAAATTTGATGAAAAGAGTGGATAGACTAGTTGTCACGTCAGAAATTACTATATGAGAGAGAGAAAATAAATTTTTAACGTTAACTCCAACTTTTTATCCAAACAAACGGGATTTTATAAACTTGACATTATTAGAATTTGTTTTTTGAGGGAATCTTTATTAGAAAATGACATGTGGGCCCCGCCCGGCATTTGTGAATAAAGATGAATAAATAATGGTAAGGTATCAATTCACCCAGGGCCCATTATTGAGACGGCCTGCAACTGAATTTTATGTTGGCAGCGTGTCCATAAAACGAAGTGTGTTTCAAGAGCGTGTGGCCCATGTGGGTAACTTGGATCCTCTCCGCTATTAAAAAAACCATAATGTACAGATCGTTATCTTATTAATAGACATTGATTTTATCTACTCAATGTGTGTGTGATTTATTCTAAATTTAATATTTATTATATTTTTCATGAATTACACTTATTTCTAATTTGTCCTTGAAGACCAATCACAATCATCTATTAAACAAATCAATGGGTACTAATAATGTAGTGATCTCTCCACTAATTTTTTTAGTGGAGAGGATCCGAAACTCTATGTGGATGGGAGGCCTATGTTTTGGTCCAACTAACTTTTAAGTTAGCTTTTTTATACCTAACTATTTGGTAAAATGCCAACTAAATTAGCTTATAAGTCTAATTTTAAAAAGCTGGTATACTCTAATTGTTGAAAAAAGAACTTATAAGCTCACCTAATAAGCTAGGTTTGACCAAACAAATTAATATTTTATCCAAATAATTCATATATATTTTTCATTATAAAAGCCAAAAGTCACCAAAAACTAGCATAGCTTTAAAGTTAAAAAAAAAACATAGCCCTCCAAACACCCTCTAAATCTTCATTATTAAATTATGAGTAATACTAACTAGGCTATAAAATGACATATGTTACAAGAAATAAAAGTATGAAATTCTTTATCCTACATTGCTACAGAAGTTATGAGTCTCTAATGCCTCGTTTGGTACGTTAGATTGGAATCAAATGAGAATAGAATGAAATAAGGCATGAAATAAAAAAAAAATGGACATGGAATGTTCTTTCTCATTCTAACATTTAGATGCAATTAGAGAATAGAGTGGGAATGTCAATTTTCTTAGTTTTGGTATGTATAATTAATAATCAATCAATATGTTATTTTTTAAACTTTTATGCTCATTTAAGTGGGAACACACATTTCCTACTATTTCATTAGGAATGCTCATTCCCACATAAATTGGGAATGAATGAGAAGTGGGAATAATCATTCTAGTTTCTAAAGAATTATTATGCTTGATATACATGAATAAGTCAATGAATAAGAAGTGTGGATGAATATTCCATTCTCACTAATTCGCGCACAGCAAATCGTGGCGTAACAACCATAATTTTGTGCCAGTAGTATACAACTTGTAATATAGATCATATACTATTTATAATTAACGTTTAAGTGGCTAATCTTGGCCGCTTGCCAAGTAGCGTTGATGGTGTGTAAGCATTGGAATATAAAAGGTCCTAGTCTTGATATTTGATCATGATTTTTGTTTAAAAAAAAAAGAGAATTTCTTCATCTTGAAGTGGTGGCATAAAGAGGATAACTTGTCAGCTTTGATTGAGAAAACTAATTTGTTTATTGAGAAGACAAGTGATATTGAGAGGTTAAGTAAACTATCAAAATATAGTCAATTGGAAATATGAGGGAGCAAACATTACCAAATGTAACAACTTCAATTTTACAGCCATCAAACAGATCATTGGAATTGAATCCTCTGATTTCCTACATGAACATATTCTCATAAGTTCTTCTAGTTAAGTAAAGGTGATCATCTCTATATAATACGGAATAAGGTTTTTATCTGAAAGTAGAGAAATATTTTATAAGACAATATATTTCAGTTGGTTCTGTAGACTCAGAAGTGAAAAAGATTATTTCAGCTATTTCAACCCATAAATTGAATCATTTCCATCCGATATGAAATATCTACCTCAAAACTTCTCTTCATAACAGAGACTCAACAATACATTATCAAAGATGAGAGAGAGTCACTACTATTACTTGCATTCCATCTCATTCCTGTTTGTAGTCGGCAACACTTTCTTCTTATTAGCGTTATCCTCATTTGGCAACAGAAGGCACATAGAATCAATAACATCCCATTATCAAAGATGAGAACATTTAGCGCTATTTAGCTAAATATTAGTGAAACTTTTTCAGAGAATCCCAATAAACAGTACTTTCTCAGGTTTCCCTTCTAAAAATATGAAGTTTATGAACTTTGAAGATATGCAGTCCAATTCATACACGACTAAATCTTGACTAAATTACTGCTATTGTAATCAGTGATTGCAGTTGTGTTAGAATACATCGGGACAAATCATACATAAATCTGCAAAGACTGGCTCTTTACATCATGTGAGAATCGGAGGGAGAAAATACATGAATACGAGCAACAAACTGAGAGCTTAACAATACATTAACAAAAATTGGGCAGAGCTTCAAACGGTCCGCAAAGGAAAACAGTTGTATGACTTCACAAGCTGACCTCTTTCTCTCAATGAGCAGTCATGCTCATGCTTTGTATCGCCATGTTCCTACACCTAACATTACAAAATACTGCTTCTCTCAAAAACATCAAGCATGGACTGAGATATATTGATTAAATGTCGCTTAGGCTGATGGAGCATAGTCCTGGATTGCAGCTGCAAGCTTTGTGGTCTCATCCTCAGTTTTAAGCCTCAGTAAGTATGTTCGCGTCACTACATTGCTTTTGCCAGCTTCAACTCCATCATTTGGACCCCCATCCTGAAACAGTAAATAGAAAATTAGAGAATTTACAGATATTTTATGTTTAAGATACGCTACATATGTACAGCTCTCCCAGGAAAGAAACAGAGATGCATGTTCTAGACTTCATGACAACTTACTGAAGTATGAAATATCGTGGCAATGGTATTCTTCTTAATGTTCATTTTTATCCCAGGGTATATCAAAGCATTAAGCAAAATTCTTCCAGCCTGCAAAGAAGCAGAAATGTATCAGAGCCTCAAGCACGAAGTGTAGAGTTACAGAAACAGAGGTAACCAAAATACTCCAATTAGATGCAAGCATCCAGACAAAAACAATTACAGGTTGGAAACATTCTAAGAGAAGGCTTTATGACTAAAGTTTTAGGTTAATGTTATATGCACTCACTCTAAATGCTATAATCTAAAGGACGACCCAATTCACTCATCAGGTATCAAGGACAGTTCCCTCGGTAACCCCTAATGAGCGCAAAACATCATTTCAATAAATAGAAGACAATTACAACCGATTGATGTATTTGCTTAAAAGTGACATTCATATCACATATTGTTCTACCAATCATTATTTATGGTGTCTAGGTTATCCGTTGGCATCTTCTACTTTTTATTTTGGCAGGCAGGAAAATAAAGCAATGTGCACATTAAGAATGCCCTGTTAGGATGCACACGACACCTGCTGCTGACATTATGGGGTTAGAAGCAGAAAGATGAAAACCATAGACCCTCACATGATATTTTGATTGTTAGATAGTATTAAAAATATTGTGGTTTCAAGGTGTCCAAATCTTAAGTTGGATAGTATCTACAACATAAGTTCTCTGATCTTGATTCCTACAATTCTACGTATCTATCATTACAAAGGAAAGTGAGTCCTAATGACTAAAGAAAACTCTTCTCTGAAAGGAAAATCTTTTTAAGACATGGATCTGGAACAAGTGTAGTAGCAATTCCTGTACTTTTGATGGACCAAAACAAGGAACAAAGATGACAACAATCCACAAGAATATTAATGAAACAACAACATCCATGCCAGACCAAGGAAAACAAAAAACGAAAAACGAAAAACAAAACCCCAAAACAAACCAAAAAAGGAAAAAAAAGGCAGCAGCATAACCTAATCTTCTAGATTCACTATTTTTTTGTGAAGCAATTAGCAGTCCAACCACTAAACCCATAGTCAGAGTTGTAACTCAAGATGACAATGGAATCAATAACAAAGAAAGACACGAATTTTCCAGCGAACAATCTGGCGACCACAGTGGGAGCCACCGATCTCGCTGCCGAGATCGGAGCGTCGCAGCCGCGGATCTTGATCCCAGTCGTGGAGGAGGTCGAATACGAGTTCGATCAGACCAAGTTCGAGGAATACCTTTCATCCTCGTCTAGATCAACCTCCCCCCGCAAGTCCAAGAAGTCCAAGTTCTCTTCCAACAGAAAGGTGCGTTGGTACGAAGAAGTTGAAGCTACCAACGACGACCTCATCTCGATTGACGCCAAAGTTGCGTCAGATGAGGCTCCACCAATCTCCAACCAGATCAAGCTGGTTCCAACCAATTCCTCCGTCACCAAAGGAGCGGTGACTCTCTCAAAGAGAGCCCGCCAAAGGCAACGCCAACGCTTGGCCAAACAATTCGCCAAAGCGATGGAGTCCACCGACGGAGTCCGCTACAACGCGGGTCTGAAGAACAAGAGAGGCAAACAGCCTCAACAACAGATGAACGGCACCTCTTCCAAGCCGCCAACAATGGAATGGATCCGTGTCAAACGGAATCGTTCGACGCTGGAAGAACGCATCCGCAAACGCCGCGCACTATCAGCGCAGGCACGGGCTCAAGCCGAAGAAGCCCGTAGAAAGTTGCAGAAAGAAGTGGCCAAGAAGCCGCCACCAACTCGCAAAGTTTGGAGGCCAAAGTCTGAAGCGGCAATTCAGGCTAAGGAGCAACCTTTGCAGCCTCCAACCAAAATTCAACCTCCGGCGAACCCAGCTAAGTCGCCGAGAATTCCCATAGCTACTCCGGGAGATCATGCAGAATCCTCCCGAAGAAGAAAGCCAGTCTTGGAGCGCCTCGGTCCAATTCCCGATGAGCGAAGCAAAGCTCCGATCCAAGAACGTTTGGGCCCACTAAGAAAACCCCGAACGAATCAACACGCTGGGGGTCACCGCTACCTCCAACATGACAAGGAGCTCAAGGCAACTGCGCGCGCTAATTTGCGCATTGAGGTCCAAGAGCCCGCTGAGAATTCACGCCCAAAAAGGCATGTCTCAAGGCGCGTGACTCTTGAAAGTCCAAGGAAGGCAATTCGCCCTCAGATGGAAACATTATCATCTGATAGTGATAATGTTATACCTGAGAAGTCGTGCCCACACACGATAGGTTACTCCGACTGTCAAAATGACGAGTTGTACTATCGTGCTGGGGGTACGAACAGAACCAGAAAGAGGAGTCCCCGAGAACAGGAAACTCAGTGCCCTTGTTCAAAGCTCATTCGGGCGGTACTGTCTCAATGCAACTGCATCAAGGTAGTCCCCGAGAGAATTTCAGTGTTCGAAAGGCTCGGCACCGAAACGCCAAAACCAAGGTATAGGCGTTTCCGGCAAAGAAGAACGGTGGTTAAAGACGGAGAATTTCAGAGGGTCACCGCCAACATGACCAGCAAAGAGACATCGACACAGGTTAATCTCAAGTCGTTTCTGGAAGCATCTCGGCGGGTCCCGTCTGCACAGTCCGGAGCCATCGCACGAGGAACTTATGGTAGGGTTCGGACAAGATTGCCTTCGGAAGATGAAGAATCGGATTCCTGCTCTGCTGTCGCATCGGACAATACAGTGTCCAGCGAAGGACAACCCCGCGAGTCATTTATGATAAGCGCGGAAGAAATGGCCAAGATGCTTGAAGACGCTTTGGCTAAGCAGAAAGAAAGTTTCAAATTCGAGATGGAGATGGCCATGCAGCAGATGAGAGAGATGCATGAGCAGCAAATCCATGCATTCAGGAACCAGCAAAGTGAATCGAACCGCCGTAACCAGATTATTCAGGAAAAGGAGCACGCAGATAGGGATGAAGCTCACAATGCCAATAACCCTCCTGTCAATACAGGGGGTGGTAACGAGGATGCCAACGAAGATACAAGTGAAGACTTGAAGATCAAAGATCTCGAGAGCAAAATCAACACATTGATCTCCGCTCAAGAGACGAAGAAAACAGGCATTCCCTGTCCATACCCACGAGAATGGGAATCGATCCCCTATCCGGCGAAGTTCAGTCTGATTAACTTCACGCCGTTCGATGGGAAGGGTTCCCCCACTCAGCATTTGATTTATTTCAAATCACACCTGGGTGTTATCTCTGGTAATGAGCCTCTGATGGTACGATCCTTCGTTGGCACTCTTCGCGGAGCCACATTCGATTGGTATTGCCGCCTCAAGCCAGGAAGCGTGAATAATTGGGATGACATGGAGACCAAATTCCTCGCTAATTTCTTCGACGACGACACCGAGATATCCATCGGAGCGTTGATCGACGAGAAACAAAAGGACGGGGAATTAGTCGATACCTTCGTCAAGAGATTACGGAACAAAGCGATGAACTGTCGGGACCCGATCACTGAGGAGTTCATTATCCAGACTTGCCATAACAACCTCTCTTTGTATGTGTTGGAAGCAATGGGAACAGCACCATCTGACACTTGGAAAGACTTGAAGGTGCACGGTGAACAAGCCGAACGCTTCCTCCGAAGGAAGAAGGCCGAGAGGAACCGACCGACGGCTAATCCGCTGAACGTGAACTTCGCCTCTCGTGGTAAGGGCAAAGCACCTGTAGCTGCTGGTGGTGCTAATCAAGCATCACAACAGCAATCCCGAAGGCAGCAAAAGACTTCGGGTCCGAGACTCTAAAGAGAGTATTCCTTCAAGGACGAAGACATTCCAGCCATCTTCGAATCCCTCCTTGAAGGTAACAAGATCAAGCTACCACCTATCACAAATCAGGAGGAAGCTGACAACACTACGGACCCAAAGTACTGTGCGTACCACAGGAGGGTCGTCCATCCCACCAAGGACTGATCCTCCGACCGGTATAAGAGGTTAAACTACTCCTTGAGACTCCGATAAGTATAAGAGTATAAACTGCTTCTCAACACTCCAAAGAGTATACGAGTATAAACTGTTTCTCAATCCTCCGACCGGTACAAGAGGTTAAACTGTTCCCTGATACTCCAATAGGTATATGAGTCTAAACTGTTTCCCACTTTTGACGGGAAGTTCCTGGAGAATATTACGCTAATATTCTTAAGGATAACCCGATCAGGTAACTGAGAATAATGACCGAACCAGTTCCGCAAAGGAAAGTGGGGGTGGACGATTTATGTAACGGGAAGTTCCCAAAACCACAGCAATGTAATAAATGAGAATTCCCATTCCCCCCCCCCCCCCCCAAATAAAAAAATAAAAAAACACAACTCATTCCATAAATGCACATAAGAAATAACAGTGAAAGAAAGTGATAGGAGGATTATGATGGAGAAATAAGATTGAAAAGAACACTATCTATGTCTTCGGTTCAGGGTAGATTTCTTCAGATCATATCCATCAAACTCAACCTAAGCAAGCCTTTCAACACCCATGAAAGCACCATGATGAGAACATACCAATTTTCCTATATCTGATTTTCTATGCAAATTACACATTGTAACAACTCAGACCTCTATATTAAGACGTGTAAATACCGAGTGTCAAGATATCCATAGAGGAGACAAATTCTCCAAGCTGGATCAGGGGCATATTGGATTAGTGAAAAAATACATGCCACGCCTCTATATTATGAACTTGCATTATTACTGATAATGCACTCACAGAAGGATAAGAAACAATGGTTAAAAAGCATTGGTTGCATTAAATGGTTATATCATAAACTAAAACCTTGCTTAATAAAATATCTTAACTGATTATGTTATTTATTGGCTAAATTATAAAAACTACTGATTTGGTCTTCACTAACGGTAGACAATAGTGTGAATTTGATTTAGTATGTTAACTACCCAAAATTTCTTTTCCCATATAAATCACATGTTTGCAGTAATAAATAATAATTTTGCGCATTTAATCATTTTTTATACTATTAATTGTGGAAAATAAAGAGGATTTTTCGAATCATAAGCGGTGCATCGAAAATATGTCAGAATTTGGAAGACTTTTTTTTTCTAACTTCTTGATGAAATGCCATATTTTACCAATAGCTAGTTTTTCCCAATAATTACCAATTGGAATTAATTGAGACCTGAGGGAGTTAATTATTAGATAAAAGATTATTTGGCCAAACAGCTTACATGAAAAGCAAGCAAATGATAAGTTTGCAGTTGTTTTAAAAAAAAGTAGTTTTTCTTTCTTTTGCAAGATTTACTGAAACTTCTTGTTGGTAATCCATTCTTCACCGTTTGTGTACTATAGTTTCATACATGGAATTTAAGTCTAGTCCCTAAATGTTATTCAATATAAGATGAAATCAACATACCCATAACATAAAGCAGAAAATAAGGCAAAAAAGTTTCAATTTAGACTGTCCAACATAAAATTTTCAAAATAAAATGCAAAATTAAGTAAATATTAAAGGGCAAATTACAATTATCCCCTTCGTGTTTCAAAAAGTAGCGGCCACAATTTATCATTAGCAACACTCTACCACCCCATACCTTAACTATGTTTGTACTTTGATTTTACAATTGGCTGCCATCTAAAAGACGACTTTTATGGCAATTTGTGTCTTTTGCAAATATACTCCATAAATCCTAAAATAGGCGGAAACAATACCTCATTCAGTTGTTACGCCTATCTCTAGCCTAACTTTGATAGTGTATCCCTAACGCCTGTACATCCCATTCCTAATTAGAGTGTGAGCCTGAAGACGTACCTATCCCTAAGTTTGACAATGTATCCCTAACACATACCTCATACTATAATAGTCTCCAACTGGTACTTTGAAATGCGCTTATACTATAGCTGGAATCTACCACAACAGCAAACCTTATTTTTCCGTATGTCTATTTTGAATAAGGTTTTAGATATTTGATCCACAGTGTGTAAGATTAACATAGTATGATAGTAAATGTTTCGGGATTTGATATAGTATTTTAATTGCAATTAGGAATGTAAATGTGGACCATATATAGATAGCAGTAAGGTTAGTACTAAAATTCTGAGGAACTTTCGGGAATAAAAAATTGGGATAGGGATAAAGAGTCTTGAGTTCGGTTCAGAATAGGGACAAACAGAGGGAAAGTTGCTTATTAGTTAGGATAGGGCAACACCAATAGTAACTATTATATTTAGCTAATTAACTGAATCAGCAGCAATTATTATATTTAGCTAATTAACTGAGTATGTCCTTTATTCCTTTAGTACGGTGGTCAAAAAGCACTGTTTTAAAAGCCTCCGCCTAGTCCGTTTAGGCGTACGCTTAGATCTAGGCCTGCCTACCTAGATTATAGAAGTGTTTAAGGGAGCATTGTCTACTTATGTAGAATGTACCCTTTAGACCTTAATCGTGATTTTGTGTTGCAAACTCCACATCCTCTGACCTCTTTCAAGCTCCTTTAACCTCCAAACATGAACACCTCCACTACCTCCTCCGACCTTTAGCAAAACCTTCTCGACCACCACTTAAATGAAGAAAGAAATCCGCCTAGACACCAGTCCATCACCTAAGCTTTCTATAACATTAACATGTATTATCAATTATTGTAATTAAAAAATTAAAAAAAACCTCCTAGGCTTTAGGCGCCGAGTCCAGACCTCCTAGCGTTTTCTATAATATTGTTAGTCATTATCTTAGCTATTTAGCATTTAAGTACACATAATTTATTGTGGATCTAAGATTGTTGTCTTTTTTTGGCAAATTTATATGAATTTAATACATGTTTTTATCAATTATTATAATTAAATAATTTAAAAAATAGCCAAACGCCTAGGCGTACGCCTAGGCATCTAGGCGCTAGGCGCCGGCTCAAACGCCTAGTCCACCTAGCGCCTTCTGTAATATTGGCAGAAAGTTATCTAATAAGGTATGTTATGAATTTATGACATTAGAAACTTAAAGGAATCATTATCCTAATAATATTGGTAGACAATTCTAATCACGTTAGTCACCAATTAATTAGCTATATTGTAGCATTATATAAAAAATGCATTGTAAAAATCATAGTTAAAGCATAAATTTTTATCCTTTCAGATCTGCATACATGAATCATAATTTTAAAAAGAATTGGTTGGTTAGATTTGGCCCTAAAATCAATGTTCATGCTTGAAATCATCACAAAATAACAAGGACTAGAACATACATCATTTCGAATCATAATAGTAGGCTTTGACTCTTTTGCAGCTTTGTCGGCACCTTCTTGACATTTGATGGACAATTGACCTACACCAATATCTTTCCAGGCTGCAGAGTTGTCTGGCTGCACATCATGAGGAAAGGAAAGGTTAAGCAAATATATCACTAGGCACTAGAAATATATCATGAGACAATAATATATGAGTTTATGAGATAAAGCAATTCGGTTCACAGGAAAGACATAATCTGACATATAACAGATATTATTAGTATCCTGGACCCACATGAACACTAGATACATCCAAAACCCAAAACATCATAACACAGCTAAATATGTATAATTGTTTCTGAGTATATTGGTACTTGATTCATGTAAAATCTGTATTTGCAACTATTTGTGTAAGAAAGGGCCTAATGTCAGTAAATCGAACTATAGAATGATAGTTTTGTCAACTTCCATGTATAACATAATCCATCTCATATATAACATTTAAGGTAAACAGAAGTTTATAACTTTGTGTGACGGACATGGATGGACAAATATCTGATGTCCAAACGGTGTATTTGACATGCCCTTCTTACTGTAATAAGTGTGTCCTACATATTCTAGCAAGAAAATACACCATCAACAGTGGACCTATTAAGTGGTCAAAAGGCTTTTTCCGAGCGGCTTATTCATTCTTTGAAAAAGAGGGAGGGAGCGAGCCCTAATTATTCATGAAAACATAATACATTCTACAGAACAAAGTTTAACATAGTGAAGGCTGATGATGTAGATTTAATGTTTTTGCAATGAAATAAAGACAAGACGTCCATTCTGGCATATATATGGTGAATGAGAGCAGCTTCCTTTTGCAGGTAAAAAGCAGAATGGAATATTTTATCCTATTATTATGTCATGTAATTAATTTATTTGTCAAGCATCAGTTGTTCTCCTGACATAAGGTCCAAACTTGTATAAGAAAGCATGGTTACGACTTCCCTGACCAATAATCCACATTTTGGTTCATTAACAAATCCACATGGTGGCTTCCACATTTCTTATTGTAAAAAGATATGAACTATAACATTTTCTTTTTTTCAAGGTATAGATAAAACATTATTTATACAAGCACATAATATTCATAACAATACTCTCCAATCAATTCTACAATCAAACTCGAATTGTATAATCAAATTATTCATAATATGAACTACTCCAACTAACCCCATGATCAAGTCCCAATTATACGGTCAAACATTTCTAATATAATGGTACAGTGGATCTAAACAATCCATCACTCATCACTCTTTATACTTCACACAAAAGATACATTCAAATTTAAATAGAACAAACTGAGTTTAGGTAAATGATTTAACGAAAGAGTATTCTTCCATGCGGTAAGAGTTCACATAACCCTCTGGTACACAGCCACAGGCTCTCTCTTATGTGATTCAATCAACACTGCTCCATAATTTTAGTTCCATGTTACAGCAAATGATTAAGGAGCTATTTCGGGCTTATCTTTGGTAGTTGGTCAGCATAAGCATATAATGTGCAAATTGACATACCCAATTTGCAGATTTAGCAAAGTAGTATGTACCAAATAGAGAAAGGCTAGGCTTCTTTACAAGATAGCGCCAACATGCTCCTGGCAGACAAATACCTTAAAAGTCTTTGCAACTTCGACAAGCTTACTGGCTTTTCCTGAATATATGTTGCTGGATATATACCAATTACCACAGATTATGTTGCATAGGTATGCGTTAGGTGAGGATGCTGGTACGGGTACTATATACTACCAATTTGTACAAGTTAGGGTATTGGGACACAACTCCCATAACATTCTTATACTTCATTATGTATACCCTAAATTGATAGCAGCTCATTTTTGTATTAGATAAGCGAACGACTCTCTGAAATCATATTTTTCAACCGAGTATGCGCTCAAATGAATCAGAACGTTTCAAACAAGTTTAAAAAAGCAGATATGAAGTGTAGGATATACATCCAAGAAGTGTATGATGAGTGCTTTAGATAAAAAGATGTATTGTGTAACATGTAGGAATAAACATATGTATATGCTCAGACTGCCCAAGAAGTGTCGGTGTCCACTTCACATATAACTTTATGATAGAGATGTCAATGCAACATACTCCACAAAATATATATGGTACCCACACGTCATTCATTTGAGAAAATTTACCCCCTACCAACTTGTAGACCCATTTATTCTTTCCTTCGCGTATACTTCATCCTCTTCCCCACCAAACCCAGACACAAACATTTCAGAAGAAGAAACTAACTGAAGAACAAACTTAAAGGAATGAGAATAGTAAAAGCTCATAACACTTGCCTCTCAAAAGCAACTGATCAAAATGTTAGCTTTCAAAGATGAAGAACAGAGAACCCATAAAAATCGACCCTTATATGTAGGAAGAAAGAAAAGGAGAAACCATTAGAAACCCACCCCTCAAAGAAGATAAAAAGACACATAAAGAAAACCTTTGTTGGTTTTTTAGTGCTATCCTAAGTCTTAACTCATCTCTCAAAATCTGTCTCCTCGCAAAATGCACATCTAGAAGTGTGTTTTGGAAACCAAAAAAATTGGGTCATGATTGATCCTAGCCCAGTTTTAGACAATTTTGCATTTGGCGAAAAACTCAACTAAGATTGTCCTAGTTTTTTAGGCCCGTAAGTAGCCCTTAAACCAATTTAAATCTAGATCATCCCTAGTTTTTTTCTAGCCTAAAGAGCATAAAACTCGGTTAGGATCAACCCCAGCGTGGCTTTTAAGGGTTTGTCAAACCAACCGCAAAAATTTCAACCACCTCCTCAATTCATCACTATCTATCACTACCTCTTCGACTTGGATATTAATATGATTATTTTCTTAATGGTAATATAGAATTTGTGATTTTCTTCAATCTAAAAATTTATTATTGTAAAAAAAAAATAAACCAAAACTAAAATGTGTGACTAGCTAATATTTTACTTTCAGGTCAAACTAAGCTTCTTACCCATGAAAGAAGATTTGCAATAAATTAAATAGCCCTAAAGCTAAAATCTGAACCCTCAAGTTTCAAAATGTGTAATTTACATTTTATTTTAATATTGCATACGAGTAACTTTAAAAAAGGTTATTCGATATTTTATCTGCAGAAAAGATAGCCCAGGGTATTTATTTAATTTTTTTATTCGGGAATCTATGTAGCTCTCTAGTTGGCTATCAAGTTTATTTAGGGGAAATTACATAGACCCTAATGAACGTTCAGCGTTTTTAAGTAAACTGCTCTGAATTTTCAAAATCGCACTAAACCCCAATAACTTTTGTAGAAAACTCCCAATATCTTTTGGGTAAATTACACTAAACGCCTGATAACTTTCAAAATACCTTGTTACGTTGCTTTCTAGTTCTAAGTTATGGGGCTTATCTGCAAAATATAGAAACTTATTGGGGTTTTTCTGCAAAACAGAAAAGTTATTGGGAGTTTAGTGTGATTTTGAAAGTTCATAAGGGTTTTCTGCAAAATGCTGATAGTTCATGGGGGTTTAGTGTAATTTACCCTTTCATTTATTGACGGCAAAAATGGCTATTAAAAGCTTACAAAAAGAAGGGGATCTTGAACATTTTTGAACATGTGAAATAACAAGATATTACAACGCTGTCCTATCACAAAAAGCCTAAACATATCAAAAAATCTACAAGATCCCAATAGAACAGCAAAATACATTGTATTGAAACTAGTCCAAATCCAACCTGTTCTTCGAACTGATTACTCGTACTTTTAAATCACTAATGAAACCTTTGGTACTAGTTTGTCAGTAAGCCATAAAAAAAAAGCAGACATACATAACACCATACATGTAAAGTTTACAAACAGAATGAAGCTATTCATGTTTATTCATTTGAATTATATCACATTAAATGGAGGAATACAGTGGTCTGTGGTGGATTTTAAATGAAGCAAAAGGTCCTTGTGAGATAACAACACACGTAGTGGTGAACACCATTGTGTTAGTCAAATCGGAGAAGGTGTACTTCAACACTAGCTCGTAGAGAGAGAGAAAGAGAGATAGAATTATAGCTACTTTTGAAAAGACTTGGATGCAAAACCTCTAGATTGAAATTCAATAACAGGGCATCCAAGTTGATGTTTCTCTCTTAAAAAATATATTTCTTGAAGTCCCTAAAAACCAGATTGAAGTTTATATTAAGTGCCTAAAACCAAATTTAGAAGGCTGTGAATCTTTTGGCCATGTCTAAAGTTGCATGATTTAAAATGTTCAAACTAATGAAAATGTTATTGTAAGGGTTTCAATAAATTGTTTAGATCATGATTCAATGTTTGATGTTTAATTGCTAGCATCACGGTTCAATGTTTTGATGTTTAATTGCTACCTTCAAAACCACACATGAAACAGAATGGCTATTTTTAGCCATGTACTTGACATCAAGTTGATATGTGACAAAAAAAACCGTTAAATTTGATTTCTAATTGATCCAAATAACATAGACCAACTTCAAGAAAGTGGAATTTTCACCACAAACAATGTTACAGAAGGCACTAGGCTGATTAGGCGTTTTAGCCCGCGCCTAGCGCCTCGCCTAGCGTTTGGCTATTTTTAAAATTATTTAATTATAACAATTGATAAAAATATGTATTAAATTCATATGAATTTGTAAAAAAATAGCAATCTTAAATCCACAATAAATCATGCATAGTTAAATACTAAATAGCCAAAATAATAACTAACAATGTTATAGAAAGCGTTACAAGGCCTAGGCGTTGGACTCGATGCCTAAAGCCTAGGAGGTTTTCTTTTTTTTTGTTTTTTAATTATAATAATTGACAGTAAATGTCAATGTTATAGAAGGCTTAGGTGGCGGACTGATGTCTAGACGGATTTCTTTCTTCATTTAAGTGACGGTCGAGGAGGTTTTGCTGAAGGTCGGAGGAGATAGTGGAGGTGTTCATATTTAAAGGTTAAAAGAGTTTGAAGGAGATTGGAGGATGTGGAGCCTGCAACACATAAAATCATGATCAAGGTCTACGGAGTGCAGTTCACATAAGCAGACAAGCTCCCCTAAACACTCCCAAAACCTAGATGGGCAGCCTAGGTACCGCCTAGACACTACGCGCTAGTTAGACAGCCTAGGTATTGCCTAGGCCTAGGCGTATGCCCAAGCGAACTAGGCAGAGGCTTTTTAAAACAATGAACACAAATAACATAATCGTAATCGAATGGGTGGATCTATTTCCTTACAGAAGTAGAAAATCTGTACCATACTTATGTATCTCTTTTTAACAATTTAAGATGTGTAGATCAACATGCAATTCCTATTCCCTTTTTTTAGTACATAGTTCTTGATACAATTCCTTAGTTCTTCATCTTCTTGTAGATATACAGAAAACTTTATGGTTGCGTAAACACAAAAGATGTGAATCATTGAAAGGACAGACCAAGAGAACAGTTTTAGAAAAGTTTCCATGTGTGTGTGTATAGCTTCCCGGCGACACAAATAAAATTAGTTCCTGCCCACAAAACTACATGGTGGCCCACCCAAATGGCTGTAGGCATCATGAAGCAAAAATGCATTGAGAATTACGTCTTGCGTAGATATCCAACCAACCTCACTAGTAGTTGTAAAATGAGCGGTTATTTGATAACTGACAAAAGTAACCATCAGTAAAAAGCTTAAAATGTCCAACACACAATTTTTTTGTCAGTATGTCTGATAACATATATGCAAGATTCGGACACGGCTTAGTAGATGGGGTACCACATAGTTTGGTTGGCGGGAACTAACTTTACATTTATTCACAAATAACAACAAAGCGCTTCACATGTGTGCTAGCATTTGCTGGCACACCTATGGAAAGGTAGTATACCTGTATAGGTATAGTTATGCAGAGTGCATGTATGCATGTCAAGCTTCCATAAATGTGACGAAGCACATCGATGCATTTATAAGCTGTAATTGCAAGATTCAGCAATAAAAGTAGGCCATAAAAAGACAATGCCAAGAAACAATTAAAAAATGGTTACCTTCACGTAGACTTTGCATTTGACTTCATGGACAATGATGACTCCCTTCTCTTCAGTCCTCTTCAAGGAAGGACTGCTTGGCTGCTCCAGTTCATCTCCTATTTATATATTTTCAGTGAATATAAAGAAAATATCTTTCAGTATACTACCTTGTTTTGTGTTATGGAAAACATAATTTAGTGAAATTAATATAGTCTACGTAAGAAGAGCAGGAAAATGCCACATATCTGACTTGTTAATTGACATCGAGGGGGGAAGACATGCACAATGATGTTATTACTCTAGTATGTAGAGCAAATCCAGAAAGATTACATACAGTGCTTGACTATTCGACTTCAAAAGAACATGTAAACATTTAAGCCTTATAAATTTGCGCTCATACCTTTGTTTTACATGCATCTAATGCACTGGGAAATGCCAAACATAACATACATTGCATTTGCACAAATCTGGAGTCAGTCTTATAGCTAGATATTTTAGTATGTATCTATCACCTACCTAAAGCATACACGTAAGCGATGCAACAAAGGAGAACAGGGAAAAAGTAAATTTTCTCATAAAGTACAAATGCATCATATTATACACTAATACCAATAATCAATCCGGGTGGTTATTGGTTGAGGATTATTGATTCAGATTTGGACTTTTTCTTGGATTTCTATTATGGGTGTTATTCGTTTCGGACTAGAATTTGGACTTAAATTTAAAGTGTTACTGGTTTAGGACTAAGATTCAGATTTGAATTTAAGATGTTATTGGTTTAGTACTAGGATTTGGATTTAAATTTAATGTGTTATTGGTTTAGGACTAGGATTTGAATTTGAATTTGAATTTAAGATGTTATTAGTTGTCTAGGATTATTAATAGGACTAGGATTTCAAAATCCACACTCCATTACAACTAAATAGTTTTTAATGAAAAAATTCAAAAGAAAGTCCCAGATAAAATTGGTGGATTGTGATCTTACTCTATGGAATTTATCTCTCCTCATATCTTCACTTATTTAAATATTTAACATATTTCAAATTAATTCTATTTAATTTTAAAGTATTTCATATTTATAAATTATTTATATATTAACATCGAATGTAATTACTTTCAAAATACTTGTAATCAACTTCTGTAAATTTATTTAATTCATTTAAAATGAAATATATTTTGACCTGTCTTGAGTATATAAATTTTTTAAATAGTTAATATTATGTTATTTCATTTTTATTTATTGTTATATATGAAATATATTAATATATTACATAATAATAATTAAAATGTTTTTGATGTCTATGTTTAATATAAAATTTTCTAATGTATTTACTATTTACATATTTAAATTACAAAGTAGTTTTTATATGGTCAAACCACTAGTTATTTTCTTTTATGTACTTAAACACTAGTTATTTTCTTTTATGTGCTTGAACGCTAGTTATATTCTTTTATATGGCATTGTTTAAACTATTTAAGATGTATTCAGTTTTGATGTTGCCATCTGTTAATCAAAATGAGGGTGGTTTTTAAAATTAATGTCCATTTTTTACTAATAATTATTATTTAACATGACAAATTTATTTGAAACTCTTAATGCAAATAATCCAGGAATATAAAATTTAGTGTGAGAATTCAACCCTTAGGCGACGATCCAAAGCAAAAGTTCAAGAATTCTACTCAAAAAATAAAAATCCAATCCAAGAGTCTGTGGCTCTAACCATAAAATCTAAATCCGGGTGCCAATCAAGAATGTCAGATTCATGGACAATTGTCTGAGTCCAAATCAACAAAATCCGAAACGAATAACACCCCCTTAGGCAAAGTTAAAATCACAGGAACTAAGTAATGCATGACCAACTAGGAACTAATTTGCTTAAGTTTGGGAATTAAGATATGATCAATAAATCATGCATATTAGCTAATCTCGATAGTATAAACGATGATCATTTAAATTTCGGCCCAATACATTCCACATGTCATCAATTCACTACTTTTCCCAACTTCATAGCCTTTGGAGATTTCTAATGTTACCCCTGCCAATTTTCAATTTTTCGGAGAAAATATATTATTTCACTATAGCTTCTTGCTGCAGCATTATTGGCCTTACTAATAAGTAATACCTACTAGCCTTACCATATTGTACTTTAAGCATGTTGATAAGATACAGTCGCACCCCCCTCAGACTAGGGTTAGTTAGGAAAGGGAGAGGGAGAGAGGGAAGGAGGGGGAGTGACCAAGACAGGATTGGATGCAATTATATAAAAGCTCTACCTAGGTTCATATGATATAAACCGAACCTGTGAGTTAGGTTGCTTCATAGCCTGATATTGCAAAGGTTAATACAGTGAGACATGACTGATTGTATGTCTCTCAAAACTAAGAAGACAAATCAAGTTCACTTGGACCATTCACCCAAATACAGTAAATACATGATAAATGACCTGTAACATCTTCATACAGCACTACAAGATTGAGCATACAGACTTTATGAAGATAATGTTACCAAGCTCCACAGTAAAATGTCACTAGCTTCATGTAGAATTCAGCTTACGACCTATCAATCAAAATCTTGAAATCACTAATCCAAAACTATCCCTAGCCAGAGCGACTTGGATGAGCACTCAATAAAACCCAGATAAGTTTTGTAGGTCAACCGAAGATAACAATTGCTATACAAAATAAAACCATAAAAGATAAGGCAGTGCATAATTTCGCTTTAAAACAACATTTCATTCGCTGCTCCACTTACAGAAAGTGGCAAAATATAACCAACCAACAAAAGAAGCTTAAATAAGATGAATTCATAATATGGATGATATAAATTAATTGGTGAGAGAGGTTGTCCATATCTAACCTTCATCAACATCCTCTGAGGTTCCTACTTTCGGCGTGGTAAAACTTTGAGTTCCTGAGAAATAAACATCAATTGTTGGGACTGCATCAGCTCAAGTCGGAAAGCAAAGAGCATCTCAATACAACTAGTCAGGAGTCAAACATACCACCAAAAACTGGTGTTTGGTTCATGGAAAAGAAACCTGAGCTCTGTGAGCTGGTTAACCCTGAGGTTTGCAAGCTTGAATTGGCTGGCTTCTGATTACTGGAAAAACCTGTCATCTGTGAACTAGAGAGCATGGAGCTGGGTGAACTTGAGCTAGCAGGTATTTGACTAATTCCAAACAATCCTGAGCTCTGTGAACTAGGTAAACCAGAGCTTTGCAAACTTGAACTCATTGGTGTCTGGCTAAAACTGAAGAAACCAGAGGCTGGGGAACCAGATGATCCAGAATTTTGCAAACTTGAGTGTATTGGTGTTTGGCTAAAACTGAAGAAACCAGAGGCTTGGGAAGTAGAAGACCCAGCACTTTGCAGACTTGAACAGTCTGATATTTTACTGATACCAAATAAACCGGTATTCTGTGTGTTAGATAAACTTGAACTTTGAAAATTTGAGCTGGCTGGTTTTTGACTGAAAGGGAAGGGGCTTGAATTCTGTAAAGTTGGTAGGCCTGAGTTTTGCAAAGATGAAGAGCTAGACGATGGTTGACGTACAGAAAAGACGCCTGAACCATGCGAATTAGGTAATTTTGGGATTTGCAAACTTGAACTTCTAACCTCTTGTGCAGAACCATTGTTTACCTCAGGCTTCACAATGGGTAAAGAGTTTCCTAATACAGCCACAGATTTGCTATGATCACTAGGAAAGCCTTTGGTTGCCCCAGTTTGTGATTTTGCAGCTTCTGCTTTAAGCCAATCAACAACATCCTTGAATTTTCCCTAGGAAAGAGACAGCTATCTATGTTTAATAAAGTAATCGTAACTAATGAATACACCATCAACTTATACTGAAGAGGAGTAAAAAAATTATGCAGAAAAAATAAGTAAAAGCGAGAATAACTTATCAGTTGGGTCTATGAGAACATCTTTATTTACCAGTAGCAGAGAACATGTAACGTATACAATCCTGCATTGCATTCACAAATCTAAAAGGTGGAATTACAATGTCACGATGGAAATAAATGTGTTTAAAGTACACAAACAAGTGTATATAAAGTGTACCAGACTTAAATTTATAATGGAAAAACACTGACTGGAACTTATAAAAGCACCTACATATCTTGATGCTAAATGGGAGTTTTAGTACGTTAGTGCTCAAAGTTTTTTTTCCGTATTGTTCGCTATAACAATGATAACTTCAAATTAGTCATTCAAAGAGAGATACTCCCAGAAATTAAAAAAACATTTCTCAAAAGCCAAAAGCACATGTCATGGTTTTATTTCTCTATTCTATAAGCCTATACAGTAATAGAGGAGTCCACTTGGTGGAAACAAAGAGCTCAGACTAACACCCGCTATGGAGAAAATGATGGGAGATGTGTGCTACCACCCGCTTTAAGAAGTGAGAACAAGTGTCTTGACTCTTGAGCTACATGCACACAATACAAATAATATAGAGAGAGCAAATAATTGAACAGGTTTCAAGACTAAATGCTGGAAGAAGTGAAGAACAATTAAACACACCAATGAGCTTCAAGTCTTTAGACTCAAAACAACATCCAAATATCGTAGCAAACCATTTAGACTCCCTTTTTTCTATTTTTTCAGAAACCCTAAGGAAAGTATCCCAAGAAATGACGGCATTTATTAGGTGGTGAAACACACCTGAAAGGCAGAAGGTCAGCGACTGAAGGCATTGAACTCTCTTCCCACCTGTTCTTTATCTTTATAGTTTATACCTTGCCTTCCTGGTGAATAATTATTAGGGTGCAAATGGATCATATATGGACGCTATTCATATCCGTACCCGCTTTCTTAAAAGGGATCCATCTGCCAAATATCTGGTTCATATTTGCAACTGCATCCCTATTCGTTTCTCCAGTATACGAGAAGAACCATATATTAATAGCTCTATTTTGCATCAAAGGGATAATACACAACTTAAACATTGCAATATATTGCCTAATATCAATTTCAAAAAGTAACGTACAATATATAATACAACCAACATAATTCACTTCTCAAATGGTCATAACCCGCGTCCATTACTCATGGGGCTAACTTTTCTTAATCACCATTATTAATAAAATAATAAGATTATAGTATAATGTAAATTTGACCATAAATAATTGCAAAATGCACAATTGATTACTTCAACAAAGTAAAATCTCTATAACCCAAAAAAAGACATGCACATCCTAAAACACAATTGTCATCAAGAAAATTTAAAACTTGACAATAACTCTATCTGAATCCATATCACTATGCATATCCATATTAATAAAATCGAAATGTCCATATCCACCGAAAGTTTAGCAATATCCATATATGTATCTGCACCCAACCAAAAATTTAAACTATATCCATATTTGTATCCAATATTTGTATCCATATTTGTATCCATATTTGTCCGGTTACAAAATTTAGTGATCGTATCCGCATCCATAGCGGATATGGTTGTGCACTGGATCGGATAAATATGTATCCATTTGCAACGCTAAAGATTATTGATTTTACCAATTTCATGAATCATAATGTCTTACGTCTTTTTTTCCCAAGAAACAAACTTTTACTTTTTTAGTTTTAAAATTACTTCTATATTAAGTGGTTATAAAAAGAGTGTTTTGAAATGATTTTGGATCACATGATGTCTTTTCTACCGGAAATAACTCTTTTTGTTGTTTACCGTTTCCCATTGCAACCTATCCAAAGTTGATGAAATGGCTATGCTTTGGTGGAAGCTCTGTCCTTGTCCATAATTTCTATTCATTTCCCTCTATTGACAATTTGCACTGTTTTAAATATCGGACGATAATCGATATTATCGACCGAGTTATCGGATTTGGGAGCTCTCCGCTAGGATAAATTGGATTTTTAATCGGTTATCGTTTTTGTAGGTTTATCGGCGTTATCGGCACTTATCGGCCGATAAGTAAGACTTTTTTATCGGGATTATCGGGATTATCGGCCCATTTTGACTAACATTATATTTTTTCAAGGCTATGATGCAAGTTTCGCTTTCTATAATTTGTTAGTGATTCTAAACATGATGATTTACATTTTGGTATGTTTATATTTCATTAAGCATGATTAGATTATATTTTTTAATTGTTATATTATATATACACATCATCCAGTATATCACTCCGATAAATACTACTTATCCCCGATATATCCCCGATTTCCACTATCCGATAAGGATTTTGGCCATCCGATAAATCCCCGATAACCGATATTTAAAACCTTGACAATTTGGTACAAGATTGTAGTCAACTTGAATCCAAAACTCCATCTAGGGGTGAATCTATATATAAGAGGGTGGTGTCAAGTGATACCACCCTATATGATGAAATTGCCAACCATATGTTAATTTGTGACCACTCTTATATCATAAAAATGCAAAACATAAGTTAATTTAACGACTAATTTCAAGTACTAATTTGATTATTTGACTTTATATGAGTTGCAGATACACACCAAGAAGAGGAATAGGTTGGATCATAATAAGTTGCAGGATCTAGTATATTGCAAATATAATCAAGCTCTGAAGGAAAGATTTGACTGCAAGGATATTGTTGATACAATCAAGTTGATTGACATAGATGAAAGCAACGAGTGGTTATTAAGTCAATTTGGAGAGGGCGACAATGCGGAGAATGGCTTGATGGATGAGGAGGATGACCTTAGATGGGGTGTTGTAGGCGAAGCAACATGAGTTGAAGAAAATTTTGGACAAACTTTAAGGTCTACTGCTAGGGTTCGAGGATCTTCAAGTGGTATTGTTTCATCATCTAGGAGGGGCGAGCCAGACTCGGAGGATGAAGAACAGTTTAATGAAGAAGAGGAGGAAACTGAGGATGAGGAAATTCTACTTCAATTGGATGACGATGATGATGAGGATGACTAGACACTATTATTTTGCTACTTGCTTATTTTGTTTCATAAACTTTTGTTCATGTTGAAGAAAATTTTGGACCAACTTTAAGGTCTACTGCTAGGGTTCGAGGATCTTCAAGTGATATTGTTTCGTCATCTAGGAGGGGCGAGCCGGATTCGGAGAATGAAGAAAAGTTTAATGAAGAAGAGGAGGAAACTGAGGATGAGGAAATTCCACTTTAGTTAGATGATGATGAGGAGGAGGATGACTAGACACTCTGTTATGTTGCTACTTGCTTATTTTATTTCATAGACTTTTGTTCATGTTGGATAGTATCTTACTTTGTGATTTGTGAAAACTTATGAACTTCTCTATGTTATGCATGCTAATTAAGACTCTTTCGTGATTTAGTAGGTGAAATTATATTTCTTAGTCTTTTTATGTGATAATTTATAAACATGTTACTTATATGCTTCTTTGTCTTATGTTGGAAAATATTAGTTTGAGTTATGCGCCTCAATTCAGTGAGACGCGCCTTGCGCGTAGTGCGCGTAAGCAATTTTTGTGCCTCGCCTTGCGCCTTGCGCCTCGATAACACTGTATATATGTACATATATACATATATGTATGTATATATATCTCCCCTACAGTATCGTCACTACAGTAGAGTTTAACCACCAAGTTCGGGATGGATTGGTGTGGTTCCTCTACGCCTGGAACACCAAAATATCGAATCATGAACGAAAAAAGACATGAGAGAAAAGCATATTGGCTAGTGATTGTGGACTCGTCGAGTCGACATTGCTTAATGTCGACTCGAAAAGCGGTATCAATCGACCCTCTTGTCGAAAACGACTCGCCATGAGCTCACTCGATCAGATACTTGACGCCTCTTGAGGACAACTCGAAAGGTATTACTTCTCGACGAAGTTAAAGGACGTCTACCTCGAACCTCTCCCACTGACAACGTATTAGCATCGCATTTAATGCATGACAGGTGCATCATGCCTCTAGCCCCGATAGCCTTCATAACTCATCGGATCACGTAGCCACCGTCATGCTACCAATCTTTTCTTGTTTAATGCTAAAGAGATCCTTCCCACAGTAACCAGTCGACACCTATAAAGTAGGTGTTGAATCCAGTCAAGAATTGGGGTCTCACAATCCCTAACCAATATGCATTTCTCTCATACCTTTCTTCATTCATGATTCGATATTCTGGTATCCTAATCGTAGAGGAACCACATCAATCCATCCCGAACTTGATGGTTAAACTCTACTGCGGTGACGATACTGTAGGAGAGATGTATGTGTGTGTGTGTGTATATATATATATATAGAGAGAGAGAGAGTGTGTGTGTGTGTCTTATGTCAACTTAAGTGGACACCAATCCTTTGCCCACCAAAGTTTCTATCCACATTTATATATATAAAAAGACTCTTCATATCATGCAAGGATCCCTAGGCAACATGAATGGATAGAAACTTTGGTGGATCATCCACTTAAGTTAACATAAGAATTGCGCCCAGCGCTTAGTCGTCTAGGCGGGCGCTTAAGCGGTTTCTGAGCGTTTTTTCCCTTCATTTAAGTGGTGATCGATGAGGTTTTGCTGAAGGTCGGAGGAGATAGTAGAGATGTTCATATTTGGAGGTTAATGAAGTTTGGAGGACGTGTAGGCTATGATACATAAAATCATAATTAAGGCCTACAGGGTGCAATCCACGTAAGCAGACAATGCTCCCCTAAACGTTCGTAAAATCTAGATGGGCAGCCTAAATACCACCTAGGCGTTAGGCGCTAGTTAGGCGGCCTAGGTATCGTCTAGGCCTAGGCGTACGTCTAAACGGACTAGGCGGAGGTTTTTTTAAACAGTGTGTATATATACACACACACATTGTGACAGTACTATTATAGATTTCTCTCTCCACCATTGACTCCATTGCTATAATATTGACCTAGGCCTCAACACACTACTTATCTTTTAGCAATGTGATTTGAATATGTGTGTGTAGGCACTAGTATAATGCATGTGCTTTGCAAATGGATATATTTTTATTTAATATTATATTATTTAATAAATTGTATATAAATATTTTATAAATTTATTTTATTACATTACTATTAAAAAAATTTAAGTTCTAGTATTATTAGTACTTATACTATTATTAACCTACATTTAATAGTTATTTAAATTTTCTTATTATTATATTATTAAACAATTTATTTAAGAGTATAATTTTTAAATAATAATGTAATCATTAGTTCAAGTAACCGTATTGAAATAATTAAACCATTTATATTATTAAGTAACAATATAGATATTTTATTACAATGTTTATTAAACAATTGCATTAGTTCTTAATATTATATGAATTTATATTCTAAAGAATATTACCTTGTTTGATAATTAATATCATCTTAGTAATAAAAAATTGGATGTTATAAATTAAAAAAACTTTTATCTATGAAAATTACTTTATATAAAAATATTGGATCCTTAAAATTTATGAGACATTTACTTCCCAACAAAAAGTGTATGTCTCATAAATTCCAAGGATCCATAAATTTTATACAAAGTAAATTTTCAAAATAAAAGTAATTTTAATTTATAACGTCCAATTTTTACTACTAATAGGATATTATAACATCGAATCAATCCTCATTAATACTATTATTAATAATTATAATTATGTATTATAATTTATTAAATAATATAATTTTACTATTTTGTAACAATTAATAATTCTTTATAATAAATTATAATATACTTATGAATTTTTTATCATGTAAATTATTAATGTATTCCAGTGAATGTGTAAATATTCTAGGAAAATGAAAAGAAAGTTATTTGTTTCATAAATTTCAAGGATCCAATATTTTTATATAAAGTAAATTTCCTAAATAAAAGTATTTTTAATTTATAACATCCAAATTTTTATTACTAAGAAGATATTAATTATCGAACATGATAATATTCCTTACAACAAGAATCAATCTCTATTTATACTATTATTAATAATTATAATTATGTATAATAATTTAATAAATAAATAATTTTACTATCTTAAATAATTAATAAATTCTTTATAGTAAATTATAATATATCTATGAATTTTATTATCATTATAAATTTTGAATATATTCTAATGGATGACTAAATATTTTGAGAAAATGAAAAGGTGCATAGTCAATGAGAGATTATAGATTATTAGTTTTATAAATAATAGCATAATCGTGAACTATAAAAAATTGAGAAGGTAAAAAAGGAAATCAAAATTTTTGATATGTGTTTTCTCTTTTATAAGTAGAGAGTGTGTGTGTGTAAGAGTGTGTCTGTGTGTATATATATCAGACTCCCTTTAAAGTAAGATTTTTGGAAAAACTTTTCCTGGACAAAAATATCATTGTCTCTTTTAGATATTATATTGTTACCTTATCCTATCCTATCCTAATTAATATATTATAATTAATTAAATTTTGATTCTCACTATAATTAATCTTCACCTAACCTTTAAATGATTTAAGGAGATCCAATTCAGATATATATGATTTTAGATCTCAAATTTCAGATAGGATATGATTTTCAATGTTACAAGTTCAACTCTTTCTTTAAAAAGTAGTTCAATTCTTACATGAACTCTAATAAGGAATTGAAGAGAGCTCATGGATCTAATAATCATCGAATATTATTCTATTTAGTGGCCACAATTAAGTTAGTGGTACATTGATGATATTCAAATCCTACTAAAAGTAACTAAGAAGTAATTGCAGTTTCATTAAAATATCAAAAAGAGACTTTTATTGACAAATAAAACAAGATTATTAGTAAATGAAGGACTAAAGTGAACACTCAGATATTTTACCACATGCAATGCACATGCACGTGCATCACACCTAGTGTGTGCAAGGTTTTAAATATCGGTTATCGGGGATTTATCGGAAGGTCAAAATCCATATCGAATAGCGGAAATCGGGGATATATCGGGGATAAGTGGTATTTATCAGAGTGATATACTAAATGGTGTATATATATAATATAATAACAAAAAATGTAGAAATATAAACATACCAAAATATAAATAATCATGCTTAGAATCACCAACCAATTGTAGAAAGCGAGTCGGGTCAGGTTTAACAACTCACTAAATAACTGCCCATTACCCGAAAATTCAACTCAAAATTTGGCCCGATAAAGCTGATATTTAGAGCCTCCCTTATCGACCGATAAGTACCTTTATCGCCAATAACTCGCCGATAAACCCCAAAAAACGATAACCGATTAAAAATCCTACTTATCCTAGCGGAAAGCTCCCAAATCTGATAACTCGACGATAATTTCGGATTATCGGCCGATATTTAAAACCATGAGTGTGTGTGTGCACGCGTGTAAGTACAATGGGAGAGACATTGGGGCTGGCAATGGCATTTGAAAATGTCTCTAAGAAGAAAGAGTGGCACATGTCAAATGATGTCATTTTCCATTCATGGACTCACTTGTCATACTGCAACTTAAATTTGTAATGTTATGACAAAAAATAAGAGTTGAAAATTTTATGAACTTCCAATGGTTTATAATAATAATATCTATTATAAAAAATGAATTTATTTTGCTCAGCCCATACTTCCTTAAAAAACGAAAAAGGAAAAGTTTGTTCAATTGTTCTTGTGAATTCAGTAATTTGTGGGTTCATGGTAAAACTTTGAAGCTTAGATATGCATGTTCACTGAATTGATCCAATTTAAATAACTAGAAGATGACTGCAGAAAACATGTTCCTATAGTTTGATGTCCTTAACTAATGGGTTTGTACTTGAGCTTTTCTCGGACACTGCAAAGTTTAGGTTCCAGCTCCAGTTCCGATAAAGGTAATATCAATCACTTAGGAGAGTTAGATTCACCTCAATTTCAACATTTAACAATCAAAAAATACAACCATAAGAGAAATATGGACTTTATAATGTTTAACAAAAAATATTTCTTAACATAATGTTTCCCTCTTGCACCTTCCTGCTCCTTGAACTTAACTAATGGGTTTGTACCTTTACTTAAGTTGGACGTAGGACATTTTAAAGTTCAGGTTCCAGTTCCAATTTCAGTATGGGCAATACCAGTCGCTTAAGAGGGCAATGCTTCATCTCAGTTCTAACATTTAACAGTCAAAATTATAACCATAAGAGAAATATAGATTTCATAATGTTTTAACAAAAAAATATTTATTCACATAAGTTTTCTCCCTTGCATCTTCCTGCTTCTTGTCCTACTAGCTTAGCATGTGCTTGGATAATGACATAGGGCTGCAAGGTTAGACCAATATGCTATCATATGTGCATGTGCTGAAAGTCCATTTACCTGACTTTTTAGAGTAAAGAGTCTCACATTTGATGTGTTTAGGAAATTGTTTGGTATTGGAGCCCTCATGACTCAATGAATTGTAGCTAACATTCTGAGCAAAGATTAATTGAGGAAGAATTCCTTATCAAGTGCTTTCAGGCACTTTTAGCACTTTGATTTGTACTCCTGGAAGTCCTTGTGAGGATGTATCAACTGGATAGTTAAGTTGATAAATTGGATTTCAGTCCACTTTGACGGCAGGACAAAACCCAAACCCAAAAATAATATTATCTTAGATTCTTAATAGTATATAATCAAAGCCCAACATAAACCCTTCCTTTTCATTATACAAGAAACTTTTTTGACAAATTATGTGCCTTTAAAAACAAATTTTTTTAATTATGTGCCATTTAGTGGGGTATCAAGTTAATTGCATCCTTAAGATGATAAAATTAAATTTCAGTTCAATTCAATAAAAGGGTAGAACCCAAACCCAAAAATGATTTACCTATGTAGTCTAATCAACCCCTTTCTAAATCCTTCAACTAACCTTTTCTTTCACAAGATTTTTTTTATTACACATTCTCTGACTTTATGCCATAAAATCTTCACCGTGTGCCATATAGGAAGGGAAGGATACAAATAAAGCAGACAGCCAAAGCAACACTATAATAGTAATATCATATTCTCCATTGATTCAACCGAATAAATCAGGTTAGTTATATTCTTTAGTGTCTATCTCCAGACTTTTCTGGTATCACCCGAAAGCTATATTCTTTAGTGTCTATTTCCGGACTTTTTTGGTATCACCCGAAAGCATCAATTTTTTTTTCTTTATCTTTTCCCCCCTGAATAGATTCTCAAAGAATGAAAGCAATGGATGATAGAAATACATTACAGTACAAACTGAAGTCCATGGTTACGTGATTATGAAATGGAAGTGCAAAGCATGCTAACAGTTCCATGCACATCATCTATATATAAAAAGTTAAATTTATGCCACCCAACAACCACCATCAGAGTATCACTTTATAGCAATATGACATTCAGCATTATCGATATCACCGTTGATTCAAGAATAGTAAAATAAGTCACATATACATGTACTACATGAGTGAGGCATGTGACTTTCAATATAAAATTTCCTGTGTCAATTTCTGGTTCATCAATGATGTCATGTCACACAGTCAGTAATTATAACAGCCTTCAAAAGAAGAAGCCTTGACAAAAAAACATAAAATTACTAACCCCGTTCCCGTTATTTGAATGAATTACCAGGTAGAACCTTAAGTTACTTAACAGTTTTTTCAGATATCAAGCTGAAAATAAAATTTTAAATTATCAGGGAAAGGCAGATATATCAGCTGATAACAAAGACAAGATAGATGAACATATAACACCAGCATTACCAATATGTTTGATGCATGAGATAAATAATCTTTTGCGCCATCCTCCCAAAGCTCATCTGGATGATTTTGCAATTGTAACTGGATCCAACTGCATAAAATAAAACACCGTCAACAACATACGCAAGAACACACTACCGTATTTCATGCCAACCTGTAATTTATCAAACGAAAACAAGTGAAGCTTTTGAAGAGAACTAAAATTGCAACCTTGCAAACTGGGTATTGAGGGCCCTAACATGCTGGCGAGCCGACTCCGCCCGCTTCGCATCCAATTTGATCCCCTCCATCCGATTCTGACGAGACGACTCCGCCCTGTGACCATCAAAAGACGGCGCGTCCATCACTCTCTTGCTCCTCAACTGCGCCATTAAATGATAGCTTCCGATCAAATCAAATCACGATTTTGAGTCAAAAAAGACCTACTACGTATCAAAATCACTGTTTTGAAGTGAAAAAGATAGGGTTTTGAAAGGGGGGAGTAAGGCTTACAGCGGAATCGGAGGGATCCGGATCGGAATCGAAGAGAGCAGCGACCTTCGCTCCTCGCTTCATCATTTTTTCTTTTTTCGCTAGGGTTTCGAATGGGAGCTGGCGGGGATTTGAAAAATAATTAAAAAGGTTTAAAGAGACGACAAAAAGAGATTTTGAGAGAGAGAATTCGAGATAAAACAAAGAAGATAGTTTGATTCCCTGTTTAGGAATCGGTCACCTCCCCTTCCACGAGAAAAGAGGGTAATATAAAACTTTGACGATCCGACCCGAATCCAACTCGAATTAATAATGGGTGTTACCCATTTTTTTATGTTTGGTTGGAGAAATCAAAGAGGAGGAGAAAATTACCCGTGAGAGCCACTTCCGACAGATAAATAATGCATTGAGGCCCAAAAAGAAGGAGCCCATGTCGTGGTCTAGGAAACGGGAGAGAATGAGCCTCACGACCCATGGCCTACTTCTCATGTGATACCGATGCGACTCGGCTTGATGGGCTCGATCGTTAAAGCGGGTATGAGACTACACTACGTGAGAAATTAAGAAAAAATAACGATTTTTTAACCTTTAAAACCAACACAAAATAGGATACATAAATATAGAGTGAAAAGATTAAGCTGTCAAACATGAAAATAAAGAGAGAACATAACATATTCAAATGAGTAAATATGAGTTTAGTTAAGACTAATTGATGACATGTTTCCTCACTGGCTTTTTTAAGATGGATGAAGAAATAATCAGTCTATTCTTAACTTCTGTTGTAATATACTAAAGAAATGCAACAAGAGACAAGAGACAAGAGACAAGAGAAGAAGAGAAATTGTAATATTTCTTCATCAATTCTATTTCCATACATCATATAATTTATTGATACATTATGGAATATAAAAGGACATCAAGTTAATAGTCCACATGCAAAGTAATGCTCACATACATTTTGCCTTTTAGATTTCAACAAAATATTTTTTAGATTTTAACACTTCCCATTGGACATTACTTCGAGATGTCAATGCCTCGTTAAAAACCTCACTAGAAAAACTCAGTGGGAGAAAAACTAGTCGAGGAAAAGAGTACACGACATAAGTAGATTCTTGTGTTGCATTAGTTGCCTCATTAAAAACCTTTAGCTAAGAAAACCTCGTGGAACAAAACTTAGCAAAGGGAAAAAAGAGTACAACTATAGTCCTTCAAGCCATAATCTTCGGGATTGCATTGAAATTTCGCTCCCCCTGATGATGACAATCTTCTGAGTCTATGCTAAGAAAAACCCAGTGGGACAAAACTTAGCGAAAATGGGCAAAATATGATGATAGACCTTCAGGGCCCAATCTTCAAGATTGTTCTTTAAGAATTTGCTCCCCCTGAAGACGGTAGTATTCCAAGTCTGCGCATACTAATATTGTGAATATATTTCTCATAAGTTAATGTAGGCAAAGATTTAGTGAACAAATCTGCAAGATTGTCACTTGAGTGAACTTTTTCGATGGTGATTTCATCATTCTTTTGGAGCTCATGTGAATAAAAGAATTTTGGCGCAATATGTTTTGTCGTGGTTCCTTTTTACATATCCACTGCTCATTTGTGCAACACAAGTTGCATTATCCTCATAAAGGATAGTGGGGGTAATATCATCTTTCACTAGACCACACGAGCCACGAATATGTCGTATCAACGATCTTAATCATACACATTTTCGTGAGGCCTCATATAAAGCGATAATCTCTGAGTGGTTAGAAGAAGTAGTCACTATGGTCTGCTTAACAGACTTCTAAGAAACGACAGTACCACCACAGAGAAAAACATAACCAGTCTGGGATCTGACGTTATGGGGATCAGACATGTAGCCAGCGTCCTAATAACCCACCAATATCATATCTTGGTTTCTTTTATAAAATAGTCCAAGATCTTTTGTACCTTGAAGATAGTGAAGGATATGTTTTAACGTCATTCCAATGCCTCCTTGTAGGAGAAGCACTATACCTTGCTAGCAAGTTCACCGCAAATACAATATCAGGTCTGGTGTAATTTGTGAGATAGAGAAGTGCTCCAATGGCGCTCAGATAGGGAACTTCTCTCCCTCACATTTCTTCATTATCTTCTTTGGGTCTAAATGTGTCTTTATCCACTCCGAGGGACTGGACGACCATTAGTGTGCTAAGTGGATGAGATTTATCTATATAAAATCTTTCCAAAGCCTTTTTCACGTAGGTCGACTGGTGTAGAAAAATTTCTTCTGGGAAATGCTCGATCTGTAGGCCGAGAAAAAACTTTGTTTTTCCCAAGTCTTTCATTTTAAACTCCGTCTTTAGGCATGAGCTAGCTTCTGTAAGCTCCTTGTGCATTTCAATAACATTTATATCATCAATATAGAATGAGATGATATAGAAGCCATTTTCGAATTTCTTTATAAACACACAAGGACAGACATCATTATTTGCATATCTCCTCTTCAGGAGGAACTCACTCAGTCGGTTATACCACATAAATTACTTGACATTATTTGCATATCTTTAATATTTTTATACCACATATCTCCTCTTCAGGAGGAACTCACTCAGTCGGTTATACACACAAGGACAGACATGCTATAAAAATATTAAAGATCTTTTTTATCAATGGAATTTCTTGACATTATTTTGTACTTTGGGCAATAATCTCCCCCCTAATGTCGAGAATTGATCTTCAATAAAAATACAGCCAGCGTACCAAATTGTAAATTGATTCCCTAATGTGGGCCATAGGTATTAAATTATTGACGGAGTTTTATAAATAATGTATGTACGTTCACCGAGATCCCATAGAGGTACGCTATGGTGGTGATATAGAAACATGGACTGTAAATAAAGAATACGCAGATGGAAAATGTTTCGCTTCTTCACCACGTATTAGATAAAAGGAGAAAATTGTGATATGCAGTTGGTCGAATTTGGTTTGAATGCCCCATTTAATTTAAGAAAATCCGACAAATCATATTTTGCCCAAGATGACTCAATAGCTCATGCCAGAATTTAAAAGAATTTGGGTCCCTAAATCTCAAAAAATCATCACAACATGGTGTATATTAGGTCATACAAATTCTAAAGTGTATAAATAAAAACCACATAGGTTCATAAGAGTTTAAAGAAAACTCAAGTTAAATCAAAATTGTCTGACAAATGCATATAATTCAAATATAGAAAAACCAAATAGTTTACCTTGACCACCTCGATAAGATCCACTTCAATGTCCACTACATTCCCTCGTCTAAGTTTATGAATATTAGTTTGAATTATGACATGTACTTCAGGCACTACGACTGAACCAATTAAACTTGCATTATGGTTTATCACAACTGTTGGTTGTGTTTTTAACAACTACTAATGCAAGGATTAGTTCATAATGCTTTTAGTTGTACTATTGTAAGAGTACAAGGTTACTTGTTGAATTATATTCAGTCGAAGGTTTAAAATACAAAAATGACTATAGGATAAGATCTCCTACTATGTTCATAGCCTCCCCCTTGTCGACGCGTATAAGTAATTTTTTGAATTATAGCATGTGCTCCAAACACAACTGATAATCATATTTTTATTACAATTTTATATCCTCATTATCTATTTTACATGAATAAATATACTATTAATAATTGTTGTTAGCTTAGTTTGCACATAAATGAATGAAAATATAAATAAATATTATTAAATATAAAAACCCCTTAAAAATCTCTCTTCTCTATTTTGTAGCATTTTAGAAGTCCATCAAGCAAAAGCCCACAAATGAATGCTATGAAGCAAGGCCAAAAATCCTCCTGCACATCATGCTCAAGAAGAAGCCACAAAGGCCCAAAGCCCATCAAGAAAAATGATTACACCAAGGAATGAAATGGACTTGGATGCAAAGAGTGGAATGAATTGGACTTGGTTGCAAAAAAGTTCTCCAATCAAAACCGAATTTGATTTGCTGCAGAATTGAAGCAAATTGGGCCGGACTTCATGAATGCAACTTGGATTGTTCTCTCAAGTGGGCCGGACTTGCTTGGACTTTTGATTTGGAAAATCAAATAAAGAGTGGGCCGGACCTATGTGCTGCAGTTTGATAATCACAAAAAAAATAATAATAACATGATGAAGTGGGTCGGATGTGTGCTGCAACTTGGAGATTTTGCAATCAAATTTCATAACCGGACCTGCTATTGAATTTTAATCACAAGCTTCATGGACCGGACTTCATTGGGCTGCTGCAGATCATTTAATGGAGAATTGGGCCGGACATTTTACAATGGGCTGGATTTTTATTTGGACGTCCAGGCAGTTACAATCCAATGGCTGATTTTTGTTGGTTTTGGATAAGATTTGAATCCAATGGCTCTCATTCACTGATGTTTACTATAAATAGGGGTAGAGAGTGAGGGGTTAGAGGTGTGAAAATTTTGTAAACTCCTTTTGGAGAGGAGGGCTACTCTTAATTGAGAAGGCCTTCCAAAAATTGTAACTTTAGTTGCAATTAATAATAATAATTTTTTTCTCTTTAAATTTGTTCTTTCTCTTCTTTGTTAAATGATAAGGATGGAGATGAAGAGCAATTTGAAGGTTTGCATTTCTTTTCTCTTTTATTTCTTTTTAGTAATTTCTTTATTATTGCTTATTAGTTAGATTTAAATTCATGCTTGTAGTGTAGATTTATTTTCTTGTCTTTTTATTTCTTTTTGCACTTTAATTTGTAGAGTAGATTTATTTTTCTTGCATTTAATTTCTGCAATTTATTTTGTAGTTTAGATTTTTATTTTCTTTGTAATTAGATTTATTTCTTGTTCATAGTTTAGATTTTTTTTTCTTTTCTTTTTAATTTTGTAATTAGTTCTTTTTCTTGTTTTTATTTCTTAAAGATGTGAATTTAATTCTTGTAGGAAGTTTAGAATTATATGAAACTAGTCTAATTTTCTTTATATTGTATGAATTATTCTCTTGCATTTAAAATGTTCATGTTTAGGATAATCAACTAGAGAACTAATCGGTAGAAGAAGATTTTGGTAATCTATGCTTATCTTAAATGGTTTGATAGGTTATACTTATGAATTCTAGGATTATTATCATGTTGTTGTTCTTATCATGAATAGTAAATTTGACTTAGATGATGATTTGATAGGTTACACTTTCCTTGAATGGTTTGATAATCTATGCTTAATAAATCTAAGTTAAAATATGATAAAAAGAGAATAGTTTATATTTTATAATTGAAATTGGTTAGTGGATTATATTCT